ACTGAGACTGAGACCCTTAAAATTCTAACAGAGGGGTGCTGGCCTGACTGGAGGGGGATATCTGCCAAGTGTTGCCTGCAGATGTGTTCAATGGACCAAGACTAGTTTCCCATGGGAACCAGTCCTGAAACAATGGGTCCTGCTCACTGCTGGGACTGGTTTGTCCTGTTCGAAACTGGACTGTCTGTACTTGTTCTCAACGGACTTATTCTCCACTGCCCTGTACCTGTTCCCTGGATGTACCATCCTGTTCCCACCTCCCGGCAGAAGACCATAAAAGACCTCTGAGTTAACCAAAGACTTTGCGATTCTCCCCGGCACAAGACGGATCTATTGGCCGGAGGATGAGGATTTCGTTTCTCTGTTGGTAGCTATTTCCCCCCCCCCGCCTCCTTTTTTTCTCTCTATCTTTCTATCACATTTGCTGTGGGCACTCAATAAAAAGTGCATTTGATTTGATAAAAACTGAAAGTCCCATGCTGTGTGTCTTTTGCACTCTGAGATCAGTAAAACGAACCATCACAACCCCCGCTTTACTAGCAGATTGTGACAGTGGCAAACTGACCAAAAACCCCTACACCCTGTCTCCCTCTGCTGTTGGTGGGAAGGAGGGAGGGGCTGGGGGGGGGGGAAGGGGTTTTAATGGCTTATTTTACTTCTCATTATCCTCCTCTGAGTCTGCTAATGATAAATTTTTACCTTTAAATCTGAACTTGTTTTTCCCTTAAAGTGTTTTTTTCCTCTAAGTCCTTATCTCAAATCATGAGCCTGTTCATTTTTTTCCCTCTCCTTTGCCCAGCTGTAGCTGGAGAGGGAAAGCGAATGACTCTTGCGGGTGCCTGGCATTTGGCCAGTGTCAAACCATGACATATGGCAACTTAACTTTCAATACTACCAGCATGTGCAATGTTATCTGCACTCAGTTGTTGGACATAACATGTGCTATGTATATCATGCTTTGCAGATCCTGTCATATGTGTCGATAGCATTGCACAATTCTGTGGAGACAGCAACATTATTACATATGTACACATATAGCACACCAGGGCTCAGCACTGCTCAGACCAAATATACACAATACCACACCATGTATGGTGTTTGCCCCCTCCATACCCACATATTCCCCTCCTCTTTAGTACTGGAGGGACATCAGCCAGTAGGAGACACTGCTGCAGAGGAACAATGCACAAGCACTCACCGCCCAGGGAGATGCTAAGGGCACAAAGCACCTCAGCCTGGGCAGAAGGCTTCAGGGATTTACAGTCCACCAGGATTGTGTGGGGCTTCAGCCAGGCTCTTTTTTTCTGGTAGCGGCAGGAGGAGACACCATGGATCACAGTGGAGAGGAGATACCCAGAAATGCCCCTCCAGCCTACTGCTGGCCTAGCAGCAGCTCCATCTGAAATGGTCACTAGAAGACACTCACAGCCCATACTGCATTTGTTAAACATGCCCAAGAGAAATCCATTCATTGCATCTGACATTCAAGCAGCTTCAACATGGACCTGACTACAGCCTTACATTACTCTCTTGCAGAAGAGGATAAGGAGCCACCAACTGTTGGAATGTTGGGGGACACAAGACAGATGATGCACTTTGGACCTGGTTAGCATAAGAGATTTGATAGACAAAATGCCTTGGCAAAAGCAAACAGAACTTTGAAAATTAGATCTAGCTAGCGAGAAGACTTAATCAGACAGGTTTACCAGAAAAAGAAAATCCTATTAAACTCTGCAAGCAAGAAAGGTTGTTATATGCATAGGTTTGTATATGTGATTTTAACCTAATCATTGTGTAGTACACATTTCTAGTCTCCCTGAAATAGTATATGAGTGTTTGTATTCCACAATAAAATCGGATTCTGATCACCGAGTCAGCCTCCCCGTCTCTCTCCATCGCCGACAGCCACCAACTGCTGTGGAGCCAGTGTTTGTACCTCCAGACCCCACTGGAGAACATACTCTGCACTTGCTTTTTGCAGTGACACCACTGCTTCAGCAGTGGGAAAACAGATGTGAGCCAGGCAATATATAAAACAGAAAAAACAGGGGCAAGCCAGTCTTACTTATCAGCATGTGTCTGCTGTCTTTCTGTTACTAAATGCCCCAACATTGTCAGGATAAATAAAACCCTCTAACACTTGTCTTTTCAGTGTTAACAAGTAAGGTATTACTTGATCCTTGGTCCAGAGGTGTGTGTATGGCTAACAAAATCCCAGCCTCCATACAGACATCGATGCAAAACTTTTTCACTTCTTTATACATTGTTAGCAAACAAAGAAATTAATGATAATTGGTTCTAAATTGCATAACTCTCATAATTAGTATTCTATCTTCTATTTGCTGTTGAATTCTTGCTTCTTATGCTAATTAGTCCTTATTTTTAGTCTTTTTTGTATCTTTTTCCTCCCATAGGGACTTTCCAATGCATATACTGAGTCTTTGTTAGCCCTTTATCTTCTGGTTTCTGAGAAAAGGTCCTTATAGTCCATAACTTCTGCATTCTAGATGTCAAGCTTCAACAATATATCTCCCTCTCCCCAGTCTTGTTCATTGAAGTATATATGAGTTAGTTTAGCAAAATGCAAAGTTTCAGTAATTTTCCAAAGCTGTGTTCCCATAAAAGGAGCATATGGCATCTTTACTAGATGCTGGCTAAAAGTGATTTAAGACTAACACACTACCTGTAACTTACACACTGGTTATGATTAATTTTTAAAAATAATTAGAAGATAATTAAAACCATTAATTTAAAAATTAGAGAAGTTATATAATTTCCAACATTTGGGTCGAGGAAAGTGAGCAGCAAAAGCACACAGGTGTATCTGACTGTAAAAATGAAAAGTAAAAAGAAGGAAAAAAGGCTGGGGAATAGAGGTTCTAGTTAAAATGACACCTTCTGTCTCAATCCTCAAAGACCCTGTCCATGTTTTCTTTGTTTGGACAAGGGAGAATAAAGAAAGAAATAAGAGAATTTAAAAAAAAAAAAAAAAAAAAAACTAAAAAGAAAATTAAAAGAGGGCAAGAATATTATTAAGAACAACATATTCTGAGCATAGGTAACTTGTGTTGTAGGCAGACAGAGATGCCATTGCAATTACTGTTGTAAATGTAGGTATCATTTCAGACTCCATTTCTTCTGCAGATACCATTATAGATTAAGATTCCATGGCAGAGGGAAATGCATCTGCAGATGAGTATCACAATGCAGTTACCATCACACATACCATTCATAACTTGCATCTAAGCTCTGTCTTCCAGCAACCAGGCATGTTGTCTGACCACCTGCACAGGTTGAAGACATTCCTCCTACCTAACTCCCAAAGCAGAATGGTGGACACTCCTTTGAGAGCAAAGGCTACAACTCCAACAGAGAGGTCTGCACCATCTACCCTGGCTGCTGCCAGCTCCTCCATCCAGATAGAGCTGACAAATGGAGAGGCTGCAATGCAGATCTCTCATTGCAGGAAGTGAATAGATCTTTCTCTAAGGCAGGAACAGGCAGCAAACCTAGCTGCAAAAGGTGTGTCCAGGTGGAGGACCACCTGTTAAGAAAGGCAAGAGGCAGTGACAGGGCTGTATAGTATCAGGAAGGCTGAGAAGGAGTTCTTTCCCAGGAAGGAGAGAGTCTGCTGATTCCAAGCACAGTTTGCAGTAGACCCACAGCCCAAAGCCTAACAGCAAGGGACTCCCCCAGAGACACACATAGAAGGGAAGAGGACCAAGAGAACACACAGAAGGGAAGAGGGCTGGTATGGAAGAATGGAAACTTAGAAAAGCAAGGACCTGCAGTAAGAACAGTCTTCCCCCAAACCAACAGGTGCTCTTGTAGAACCTTTCCAGAAGACAGAGGTGCCCTTGCAGAACCTTTCACTGATTTATAGAAAAGACTCAGCAGGAGAGGCACTGAAGATGAGTAAGACAGCCTCATCTACTCCCCATGTAACAACCAGTAAGGCAGCATAATTTGTTCCCCATATAACAATAAGCACAGAAGAAGAGGGTAACAGTAGGAAGAGATTATCTTCTGAGAAGCACAAAGGCACTATTTACTGGCCTGCTGCACTCTCCAGATTATGCTGCCTACCATGGACTCGTAAGAGAGATGTCACTGAGAGACTAGTATGCCTCTCACAGTCCACCATTATCTACTGCAGCTGTTTCATGTGGGTGCCAGTGAGCAGCGCCAAGAAGGATTACAGATCCCTGGGAGTAGCAGTAGCTGCTGATTCTGGAGCACAGGTAGTTTTTTCATCAACTTTCCCAGTCAAAGCAAAGGTGTTTGAAACAGCCAGTCTAATCTGGGGAATCAACAAATGGTTACAGGACTGGTGCCACAGCCAGAGGTTTGGCTGCTTAGACCACCAGACTTGCTTTGAACAATCTGGTCTACTGAGGGCAGATGCAGTCCATCTGTCAGAAAAGGCAAAGAACATCTTCACTCACAGCCTTGCCAGGGTGGAGAAGAGGGCTTTAAACTACAGCTACTGAGGGAGGAGAGCTTCAGTCCATCCCACTACTATCACAGACAGCAAGAAATGTCCTGAGCCTCAAGGCATCCTGGTCCAGATGGGCCTGCCTGCATCCAGATGCAAGGGCTCCTCCAGCATCATAGGCATGGAGTAATTTGTTATCACCTCAGCCCCTTCTCAGAAGGGGCCAATGTTGCTGCCCTTTCCTCTCCAGAAGCCAATGGAATTATTTTCTGCAAGCACTCCTGCAAATCATAAGGGAAAAACTGGCTTGAGCAGCAGAACAAGCATGATCCAGTGCAGACTGCAGTGGGCCACGACCCTTTGCTGCTGGGGCAATGCCTGCTGATCCTCGACATTTTACAAAGAGAAATGGTGATGTGGCAGTGCAGCCAAAGTAAGGGCTGTGTGAAAGGACAGGAGATGGGTTTGGCTGCTCAGGAAACCACAGCTCCCTTCCCACAACTGCGGGTGCTGATAGAGGGCTGGGCAGCTCCCCACTAGCACTGTCCCAGAGCACTGCCTGGTCTGTGGGCAGGAGGAAGCAGAGCAGCAGCAGAGCAAACACTGGAAGATCTGCAGGTGAGTCAGAGTGTTCACAGGGGCCTGGTTGCTCATGGAAGACACATCTGTACACAGGAAGCTCCTTTCTCCTGTTTCATGCTCCTACCCTCCAAATCTAACAGAGGGCTTAGCTAGTGTTGGGTAAGAGCATATTCAAGGAGATTCTTCCAGCACATGATTTGTCTGGGTTGAGCTGGGTGTGGGTGTGCTGGGACACAAACACTGCAGAGGCATGGCTTTTACAGTGGTGAGGGCAGCAATGCTGCCCCAGTGGAGAAGGCATTGCTGTGAAGAGGCCCATCAGTCAGATTCTCCCCACTATGGAAGAGAATGGAGAGACCAAAAGGGCCAAAATGTCATCTGCTGGCCTCCGAGCACAAGATGGTAGTAGGTGTGGGGTTCATTTCTCCCTTCCACCATCCCAGGGAGGAGCTGCAGAGCTCAGAGGGTGATGGAGAGTCTGGCAGGGGATACTAGTTTTGCTGCAAATGGTGCTTGTGTGGGAAGAAAAGCAATGTGCAGATGCATGCCTGCTTGCACCCACATCCCTTGGTTCTCCCCCTCCAGGTCATGGAGGTCCTTGCCCTGACCCTGGTTACTCTTCTGGCTCTGCTGCCCCCAGCCGAGCCCTGCTCCTCAGAGATGAACAAAGTCAAGGACCTCCTGGAGGTGAACTGCACGGGGCAGGCTCTCATCGCAGTGCCCCCAGACCTCCCTGCAGACACAGGCATCCTGCTGTTGAGTGACAATCGCCTGGAGTCCCTCTCCACCACTGCCTTTCTGTCCCTCACCCAGCTTCAGGACATTGACCTGACCAACAATGGGCTGGTGGCTCTGCACACGGGGGCCCTGCTGCTGTCCCTGAAGGAGCTGACCCTCTCCCACAATGCATTGGCAGCCCTACCTGTCCTGGAGGGCCTGCCTGCACTCACCCACCTGGCTGTGGCTCACAACAGCCTGGAGACATTGGCCCCAGGGGCTTTCCGCACAGTGCCACAGCTGCAGAACCTGGACTTGCGAGGGAACAAGATGCAGCAGCTGCCCCAGGAGGCCTTTGCAGGGCTGAGGGCACTCAAGGAATTGGACCTCTCAGACAACCTCCTGAAGGAGCTACCCAAGGAGTTGCTGCAGGACCTGCAGAAGTTGGAGACCCTCTGGCTCTCAGGGAACAAGCTGCAGACCCTGCCAACTGACTTTTTCCCAAAGGGGCGCCTCTTCATGTATGTTTTCCTCACTGAGAACCCCTGGCATTGCAACTGTGACCTGCACTACCTCCAGACCTGGATCCAGAAGAATGCTGACATTGTTTATCAGCCAGAGCGGGGTCTGGAGGAAACAAAGGTGGAGGTCGCACCTGAGAAGGTACTGTGCCACAGCCCTGCTGAGCATAGGCAGAAGCCCATCATTCACTTCAAGCTTAACTGCAGCATTGTGGAGGATGAGGATGAGGAAGGAGGGGATGAATATAATTATGGGGAAGAAACAATAGAGAAAGCTACCATGACCACCTTCCCCCTACATCCATTCATCTCCAAAGAGCACACTACCATGCCCTGTGCTATTACCTCATCTTGCCTTTCTACCCTTCCTACCACAAGATCTCCCCTCACCAGACCTTCCCTCAGCACCCCTTGTACCACCACCTTTTCCCCAAACACTTTGCTTGTGGTGCTGACAAGCATCAGAGCTCCCAGCACCACCATTCCTGTACCAGCCAGTCTCACCGTGACACCCACACAGACCCCCAGCACTGCCACCATTCTTACGGCTGCTACCACCATCACCCTGCACAGACCTGCCACCTTTGACAATGTCACCTCACTGCCAACAACTATGAGCAGCAGCCCTTCTAGCACCAGTGGCCATCCCCCAACCACCCTTGCTACCAGCAGTATCTATGGCAGCCTCATGGGGTCCACTGGCACATTTCCCACCACTTCCACAGCAATGCCTTCCACTGCCATGCTAGAGGCCTCTTCCATTGTCAGATCTCCATGTTCTCCTCTGATGTCAGCCAACACCATGCTTTTCACTCATGCACCAACACTACCACCTCTCCTGGACACCACACACTTCACGCAACCTGCATGTTCCCCCCTACCTGCTCCTCCTCCCCTCTGCCCATGCTCCATCCCAGGACGGGCTGTACCTGTGCTGCATTTGCAGGCAGGCGGGGAGGCTCTGCAGTGGGGGCAGTGGGTTCTGAGGCACTGCTGCCTGTTGCACTGGGTGCTCTACCTGGCTTCCTTGGCTCTGCTAGTCCTGACTATGCTGGCTCTAGCAGGTTGGCTGGCATGGATGTGTCTGGTGGGACAACCCTCCTGGCACCAGGCCCTGCAGACCCTAGAGGTGCGGTATCCACTGCTGGAATGGAGGGACTCAACAGGAAACCCTATGATGCATCTCAGCAGCTTCAAAATCCCCCTCCAGAAACCTACATTCTGTACAATCAAGGAAGTGGACTTGTGCCCTGAGGTTACCTACTGCACAATTAAGGATCTGGGGATACAGTGCAGTCCTCCTGCAAGTTACTCCTTCTGCAGCACAAAGGAGTTGTGGGTTCACCACAGTCCTCTGCATACATCAGTCAAGCCTTTCTCCAGCAAGATGATGGTCACAGACCTTAGCTTCCTGAGGACCCCATCTGCTTACAGCCTAGATAGGGGTGTTGAGGCCATCGGTGATGTCAGAGTGAGATATGCAGGTAACACCATGTAAATGTGTCACACACACGTGTACACTCAGAGAAAGAGATTGAGAGTCATGGCTCTGCTTTATATGCTTTGTTTTAAAAAGGAAAGTTCTACTTGCCTAGGAGGAAGCCATCCAGCTCCTTCCTCTAGTATTCTCAAACAGCCTGAGGTTTACAGAGCTCAGGTATTTGGCAGAGGAAGATAATGTCCTAAACTGGTCAGTGATAGTCTGGGGCTGCCGCTGCCTGGTTTTGGGGTGAGTGAGGGCAAGCAGAACATATGTTGTGCTCTGTCGCAACTGCTTCTACTCAAATTATGCACACAAAAATGCAATACACTTTCCACTCAGTGCCAGGTTCTTAATCACATAATAAATATTCTGTGCTTGAATTTAAAAGGGGTGCTGGTTTGATTTCATTGGACCTGCCACAAGTCCTGGTAGGACAGTGAATGAGAAATTTGTCTTCAGTATTTGGAATAATGAAGGCAGGGAAGAAAAGTCCAAGGAATCCCAGAATCCTAGAATATCTTGAGTTGGCAGGGGACCCCTGAGGATCAAGTCCAATTCCTGGCCCTGCACAGACACAACAATCCCACTCTGTGCCTGAGAGCATTGTCTAAATGCTTCTGGAGCTCTGGCAGCCTTGGAGCTGTGACCATTCCCTGGGGAGACTGTTCAGTGCCTGACCACCCTCTGGGGGAAGGACTTTTTCCTAATACTGATCCATCCATTAGGATGCCTCCATGAGGGGGGCACATGAGGGTCCTGCCCCAGGTCCTAGAGAGCAGAGATCAAAGCTGGCCTCTGCCTCCCCTCAGGGGAGGTCTCCACGATGAGGTCTCCCCTCGATGTCCTCCAGACTGAGTATGTCAAGTGCCCTCAACTGCTATTCATACTCTTCCCCTCTAGACCCTTCCCTGTTTCTGTGGCCTCCTTTGGATACCCTTTAACAGCTTAAGATGCTTTGTGTATTCTGGCATTCAAAACTGCACACTTAGACTCTTGCCTTTGGCCCCAAACGTGTGATTCTCCCTGTGGTACTGAATCACAGAGGAAAAAGCATTGCACTGACAGGAAATAAGGAAAGTGCAAGTGTTGATGCTTCTGCATGACCCCTTATGGGATGGCCAGATGTGGAGGAGTAGGGTGGGAGGCTTTGAAGGGGAACAAATATGACGTGTAAGGGATTATACTAGGACAAAGCACTCCAGAGCTGGCCAAACTTTGTGACCACCTGTCTAGATGTCACTCAAATATTTTGGGAGGTGTGAGAACGAGGCAATAGTCACCATTGGTGGGGGTCGAATGGCTTGCTCCGGAAGTCATGCATAAATGCAGCAGCTGGATCCTATGAATCATTTTTCCAGCTTGAAATGCAGTTCCAGTTCTAATTGTCCAAATGTATTGCCAAACTGCTGTGAGTCAGTGTGGCCTTCTGCTGGATTAACTACTGGAGTGTCCACAGGTGGGAACATTGGCCAGCATGAGTATGTCTGCTGGTGAAGGTCTGGTGTGCAAGTGTATCCGTGGACATACACATACTACATTTGTAAGGAGGCACTTGTCTAACTGTTGGTGCTGTCCTCTAACCACACCATCCTCTCTATCCCTGTTTCCTGAGAAAACAATGAGGTGAGCAGCTCCAGTGCTGGCACAGTCTGAAGGCCCCAACAGTGGGGCACAGACATCTGGGGAGCAGAGCTGTGGAAAAATATCTGTGTATCTTGGTGGACAGAAAGGTGAACAAGGTGAACAGGTGCACCTGGCAGCAAAGGGAGGGCAACAAAACTTGAACTAGGTTAACAGAGACAGGGCCAGCAGGCCAAGGGAAGTGATTATCCCCTTCTCCTCAGAACTCTTTAGACTACAATTTTTTGTCTTTTACACATCTGAAGCCACCCAGTTCTCTCCCCACAGGCACTACTGGTAACCCAGTATTTCTCAGAATCCCATTACCTTTGCCTCTCCTTGCAACTCCTCCCTGGAATTCTTCCACCTCCTTACACAACAAGCATTCCAGGTCACTCCAGGAATCCAAGACCTCTCAAAACTACCTAGGAACCCCAAAGCCTCCAGGACCCCTATTCTACCCCACCATCGACCCCCACAAATCCTGACACCCCCAGGACTTTATTCCCTCAGGATCCCCTATACACCCCAAGACCCCTCTCAGTCCTGAGACACACACATATGCACCCTCGTGTCCAGTGAACACAGGCACACAGAGTCCCAGTGGCCAGAATCACCCACCCAGGACACTCAGGTCACTGGTCTCCTGCTCTCCTCCTGTTCCTTGTGAGAAGCACCTGGATGTCTGGGTTCCCCACCAGAAACAAGACCCAGACAGACAGTTCAGTAAGCACTTTTATTCAACCCAAGTGTGGGGGGAAATTGGGGGATTCCTAGCTCCCAGTGAAGGGCTCAGACAAGGGGATTGAGTATTCCTGGAGGCAGAGGGCTACATGTGGGGAAGCTTTATATTCCACAGGTTCACAACAGTTTAGGTCATGTACCCTGAGGGTGAAGGGTTGCTGGAAACCACAGAAGGAACCCACCCACTCTGGGAGAGAGATCTGGACACTTTTGTCCCTTAGAGGTACCCATGGATGTTACCTGCATATCCCATGGGATGCAGAGAGTACATCCTAAGCACTATTGGGAGTTTCAGTTGATCTCAAGGGGTCCTTAAGGCAGCTGGGGGCACGCAAGGCAGGGGGTACAGTGAGAACACAGGCTTGTAGGTCAGTATAGGCATGGGGCAAAGTGCCTCGGGTGACCCAGCGCCGGTTACCTGGCTGGTAGGCGTGGATCAAGTGTGTGTCCTGGTAGGTCTCATGACTGTATCCTCCCAGTACAAGCAGCTCCCCTCCCAGCACAGCTGCACCCCCAACTACATGTGCACGGGGAAGAGGGCTAAGGAGGACCCAGATGTTCTGCTTGGGGCTGTAGACCTCAAAGGTCAGCTGGTCCCTGTAGCCAGTCTGCCCAGCCCGCTGACACAGGCCCCCGGCCACATAGAGCTGCCCACCTGCCTCCTCCATGACATGGCCAGCTCGGTGGCCATTCATGGGGGCCAGGAGTGTGACAGGTGCACCGGGGACATAGCGGAGCAAGGATGCCTGACACTGGTATGCTTCATCACACCCACCCGACACGTAGAGCTCACCATCCAGGGCACACGCCGCATGCCCACACAGAGCCATTGGCAGGGGCTGGCACCTCCTGGGCAGGGAGAGAGGGAGAGGTGAAGGACAGGTTAAGCAGGGCTGTCCTGCAGTGACTGATTACCTAGGGGTTCCCTGGTGAGCCATGGCTTCATTGACCACTCAGCAGGCAACACTTGCGAACACCCAATGAACCCCAGTGGACAACATCAGCTAACACAGAATGGATGCCCCACAGATGGAGCCATCACTGTTTAACACTGTAGTCGCCACACCATTGGTCAACCACAGTGGGCTCCATTAATGGACAACATTGGCCATCAGACCATGAACATTATGCCTATGAGAGGAATCAAATTACTTTTCTCATTGGTAGACGGCCAACAAGACCTGCAATGAACACACTGCTGGCCAAAAACTCATTTGCCACCCACTAGGCAACACTGGCCAACACCCGGTCCCCAAGGGACATGGTTGTTCAACACCCAGAAGACCTCTCTCAAATACCACTGCAGGTCCATTCTCCACTGGAGGCTTAGTGACTCAGTGGGCACCATGGCCAAGACAGGGGGCTCTGAGAGAAAAGGAAAACTAGGCGTCAGCTGGAGCAGCCTCACCTCCAGGTGTCATTGGCCAGGTCGTAGCACTCCACAGTATCTGTGCAGTAGAGTTCCCCTGAGCTGCCCCCCAGGGCATAGATGAAATTACCAAGTGCCACAGCAGCAAAGTAGCTCCGTCCACACGTCATACTGGCCAGACGCTCCCAGGAATCATCCATAGGCTGGTACCTGGGTTTGAAAGGCAAAGGGGCAAGAGACTACCCATTACCTACAACGCCATGAGCTGATGTTGGCACCGCTGAGGGCAACAACCCACCTACAACGTGCCAGTCCCATAATGCCTTGGGGTCACATGGTCACCTTGCATGGAAATATCCCCTCCTTCTGGAGAATATCAAACCCATAATGTCCTGGGGCATCGCCAGATAGAAGCCTCCCACTCCTACTCTCAAAAAGCGTGTAACACCCCAGAGTATGAGGGCAACTCTGAGTCCTACACCCAACCCTTCCCAGAATGTCTTGGGGCCACTTGACCAGCTGAAATGCCACAATTGGATCTTGAGGCATCTCTAGCTCTAGCAATACCTCCCACAATGTCCAAGTGCCACGTGCCAACTCCAGTCCTCTGTAGCTCTCACCTGTAGACACTGGCTAAGGTGTCATGGACCCCATAGTAGTGCTTTCCACCCAGGACGTAGAGGTTGTTGCCCACCACAGTTACAGCATGACGGAAGCGTGGGCCATCAGGAAAGTGTCCCAGTGCCCGCCACTCAACCTGCTTCACCAGCCCCACAGCACTGAGATAGCGGTCTGCAAACCAGAGGTGTCTGCTGGGCTCCCGGGCAGCCAGGTTGTCCTTTACTTTGTCTCCACCACAAACCACCAACACCTCTTGCAAGGAACGTATCCGGCACGGCAGCTGGGCCATGGGAGTGAAACTTGCTACCATGAGCTCACGAAGGACCTTTGGGTCAGCTATCCCTGCAGTCACAGATGGGACCTTCTTCAGCTCCAGGCTGGACATGAGGGCAAAGCGAACAGATGACAGGATCTCTTTGGCTAGATCCTCCTGGCCATC